GCGATCGTCTCCCGTTGAATTTTCTAGTCGCATATTTACGTGTACATGTCATGCTGTTAAAGAGCAGAAATTTTAGGTTTGGGTAGCAGTGCAACTGCAATCAGCTCATCATCGGTACCACTGGCCGCAGTGATCGATGAAACTCCGGCACGTCCAGCACCAAAACCAGCAGTACCAAGTGCTCCACGTGGCGGTGGCAAAGCATTGAAGCTTGGCTCGAAAGCAACAGATGATGATCAGTTTTTGAAGCAGCTGAAAAGTGAAGGTGTGTTATATCGATTTTATCATTTAGATGAAAATTATTCGTCCAAGTCTTTAGATGCGTTGTAATTTATTGTACTGTATGCATTTTTCTGAAATGCATGGGATCATTTTTATATCTACTGCATTCCTATGCATGAATGCATTCTTATTTTTATATTTTTATATCTGTTTATGTCTGAAACCTGTTTTTATGCCTACTGCCAAGATCGTCTCCGTCTGGACAGTCGATGTGGGAATCCATGTTGCTGGGATGCACTAACACTTCGGAGCTGGTCTGTCCTGCCAAAAAAACTTGTTTTTGGATTATTATATAATACAGCGTGAAAGTAGTGAAAATTATTGGTACGAAGCTTGTTGAGGTGGATATCAAGTAATCCTCCGCTTTATCCATCATGTTATTTCTTCTTGTTTCTTGTGCCAACCTCAACACAACTCTTTCGTCAGATTGCCTTGATAACATTGCTCAAGCGGTTTTCGAACGGCGGTACTCTGTAGGGACGTGCTTCAAAAAGCTGATACACTTGTTTTAAAAAGTCCTGTAGTTCCTTAGGATCGCTACTAAAGATTTCTACTCAGCAGACATTTTATCTCATTTTTCGTCCTGAATGATATTGTGGTAACAGTTTTTTCATAGCAATTGAAGTCATTATTAAAAGTGTCACGTTATCATGACTGATTATATAACAGTGATAAAACAGTAGCTCAGAATCATGCCAAATATGTTTCTGTATTTGAATAATAATAATAATAATAATAACAACAATAATAATAATAACAATAATAATAACAGCAACAACAATAATAATGGTAATAGTAATAATAATAACAATGGTAATAACAATGATAATAATAATAATAATGATAATAATAATAATAATAATAATAATAATAGTAAGGGTAGTAATAATAATAATAATAATAATAACGATAGCAATGGTAATAACGATAGTGATAATGGTACAAGACATATGATATGATAGTAGTTGTTTAAAAAATTGTACGTTATAGCAGATAACTTTGTATAAAATAACAAAAAAATAATAGTGGTAAAACAATGATAAAACATTATAATGTGCAATTTAAAAATGCGATTTCGTTATTTTTTTGAATGATTTTTTCAATTAAAAAAAAAACAAATTTCCCGTCAAACCACATAAAATCAAAAAATGTGATTTTTAAGGACAGGTGGTTGATGCACCAGCACGCGCTACCGGAACATCTGGCGTTAGCGGCCCAAGCTCCGTTCAGCTGGACGCATCGGCCGTATCACGTCTGCCTGTTCATATCAAAATTGAGGAAAAACTCTCAGCAGTGGTTTCGCGTGATGGAGGACTTGAAAATGGAGAGGTCTGGTTTTTCTCTTATAAGCTGCTAGGTGTAATCTTTTTGTTCTTTTTTTTTTCAGTAGGGAATTTCCTGTCAAAGAACCTGAAGGTAATAACGGAAAGAGGTGATTCTTTTTTTTTTTCAGAAAGATTTTTTGAAATGTTTCTTTTTTCGAGGGTTTTGAGGAATTTTTTCAATTTCATTTGCAATTCGTGCAAATTTCATTCGCAGTTCGTTTCTACTTCCTCTATTGCCAAATTTCCATTTGCGTCTCGCCAAAAAGCCGGAGTTCTGTACTCGAAATAGTCATGTCTTCTGTGACTTGCAAATATGTGTGCTGCAGCATTTCTCTTCATCAGTCAGGAATCTTCGAATTTGAGTAGATAATACTTATAACTGTACCGGACTGTGCATTTTTATGTGGCAGTATAGGAATCATTCTGAAAATGCTGCACCCTAGTTATAAAAATCCTCGCTTTTGCATAAAAATATTCTCCTATTAGCTTCAGTATTTTCAGTGCCCTTTGCTGGCATCTGGCCAATTTCAGGTCCAGGGCAGTGTTGCACTATCACTTAGTGATCCACAGTTTGCCACAATTTCTGTTCGAATCGCCAATAATGACAAGCGTGGAGCACAGTTGCAGGTAAACCCGTACTTCTGGTTCGAGTAACAGTCAGCGAGTTCAGAGGTTATTGAGAAAGGAGGTTATTGGCGGGTAATATGGTGGATGCTTTGGTTTTTTTTTGGCGAAATGAAGAGTTAGAACACTGCAAAAGTTAGAACTTCTGCTTCGCTGAAATTTCAGCTAAGCTGATTATCGCATGATTGTAGCATGAAAGTAATATGAAGAACATAAAAAAGAAGGCAGCAATAGAACGAACTGTGTACTGCAGGAGTGTTGATCACATATCTGGTTTACGATGACCTTTCATGTTCAAGAAATTCCCGCTTTGTGAATTGAACCTTCCTCAAATTATAGCTGTCATTTTTTTGAAATATAGTTTTTTGCCAAAACTTACAGGATTTATACATTGATTTAGAATATTTTGGAAGGAAGCCACAGGGTGAAGTTAGTGGGTAGCATCGACAGACTTCATCGCTTACTCAGCAGAATTAGTTCCATCTTTTTGTCAATTTTTGCCTTTAGAAATCTCGGCCGATGTCTCCTTTTGCTATGTATAGACGAAAATTTAAAAAATGAATAGATTTCAGACCAAAATTAAATAAATTCCTTGAATTTATGCTCGTATAGTTGCTGATTAATTTGAAATCAGAAATTAAGTTGATAGTAATTCTCGTTTCAAGTTTATTGCTTGCCTTTTCCCTAACTGATTTAGCTGAAATCTGTGCCTTTCCGGAATTTTACTGGAGAATTTATTTCTTAGTGGTTTCATTAAATATTAAAAAGGGCCGAAAATAGAGAAAACCGGAAATAGAGTTATACGAACAGAGCTAGTGCCGCATATTGTCAAGCAGTTACGAATTTAGGTGCACCCAAATTTGGACAAAAAAGAGTGGCAGGAAAATTCGTTGCTGAAACTGAAATCGGTGCAGAAACCATTCCCGGTGAACATGGATGTGGGTGTACTGAAATGGAGATTACTGCTCAGCTCTGAACAAATGCTTCCTATTGCAAGTTCGTTTTTTATGCCTTTTTTGCTGTAACAGTTGCACAAAATGTACATCGTCGAGACTCTGTCTGTGTGTTGGTTTGTGTATGTCTGGGTTTGTGCATGTGTGTGTGGGTTTGTGTGTGTGTATTTGTGTATGTGTGTGTATTTCCGAGTGCATTTTATTCCTTTTTTATAAAACATATTAGTAGGCAGTTTAGCATAGAAAGGCCTGGTGTAAAGCTGTACCTCGGTCTTTGAGTGCATCCCAGATATTATTGGCATTGACGTCTCATGCCGGCTACTCACACGTTTTTGATTATCATAGTAATATTTGGGGATATTCTAACCAATCTTAGCTTATTTTGCATTTCCCCCTTCCCCAATCACTTCCTTCTACCATTGGTCACTGTTAGTCGCTTCAATTACTGATTAATCATTACCTCTATTCTCCTCAATTTCCTTAAATAAAACCCAATTCTCACCCCTCCCATTCAGCATCTCACATGCTTTGCAATTTTTGGTCATTCTTCCACCAACAATTTGACTTAATTACATTTGGCATGCTTCATTTTATTTCTTTAGTATGTCTTTTTAATTTAGCCTTGATGGCGTCCATGGCGTTCTGCTTTTGTTCTCGCATCGAAAGTTGAAGGTTCGATTTTGCCAGGTGGGCAGCCCGTCCCTCTACGATTTGTTCATTCGTTTCGATGGCTAATTGATATTGACATGTGTAAGAAAATCAAAATGCCATCAGTTTGTTTCTGAAAAAAACCCAAGAAAGAGAAATCCGTCGTATTCCCTGCAGAGCGTGATTAATTTCAGCACTTGATGCCACTCGGGCTACCTTCGATTGCTTCCACTTCTCATAAAATGTGAATAAAGCGGAGAGGGAGGAAGAACGGTTTTTACTGTTCAGATTGAATTTGACCATAATTTTTGTATTTCAGTTTTCTGAGTAAGTATGCATAACTTTCAAATGATTTAGTTTTGGCCTGCAGGATTTACGTGAATTTCAGTGAACTGTTGGCCGAATGAAAATCCGGATGGATGTGTTGTAAATATCGAGTACACTCTTCAAGCTGAACAAATGACTCTTAATAACGTTGTTATCGTTATCCCTCTGCCGTATGTCTTCGCTTTTCCTTCTTTTTCGAATTTGTTTTAAATACTTTAAAAAAACGAGTACTTTAATACTTAAATACTTTAAATATCAATACTTTAAAATACTTTAAAAACAGATAATTTAAATGCTTTAAAACAAACACTTTAAATATTTGCGTCCAATCCTTCCTGGGCTTTTTAGTACTGTACATGAGTTAATCGAATCTCCCAAATATTAGATTAAACCTAGAATTCTTGCCACTTTCGAAAACTTTACGTAATTAGCTAGTCACTAAGGAATTGATTTGATTTTATTTTCATCTGAGATTACAGGGCGGGAGAATCTGGGAAACTTGATGAACCAGAGCCATGATTTCATTGTGAGTGTGAAGGGATTTCGTGACTTTTTCTTAAAAATTATTAGAAGTAGGGAAGAGGG